TTTGGAATTATGTTCTCACACCATTCTATTTAAATACATCAATAATTATTGAACATTTTTATTAATTAAAACGGCTGCAACATTACCAAATTTCAATTGAACTTCTGATCGCACCACTCACTTAAACTATTTCTTTTTTTCTTTCAATTTACCCACAAATTTAGATAATTGAGAGGAAGCTGAAAATTTCCACATTTATTGTTGCAATTTCAACTTTGAACTTTCTGTGGAATCTGAGACAATATAACACAAACATTGCACACATCAAAAATTGGCAATAGTGTATTTGTAGACACCGCAGAGGATAATTTCAATAGCTTCGCTGTAACAAAAAAAATGACACTGACCTCTGTTCTACCTTACCGATCATCTTTTCCTAACCCCGACCAGCACGCATCTCCTTCCCTTTCGTGTTCAGCAGCTGCACTAAAACAAATGTGTAATTGTGAATTCGAGCAAGACACATATAAATCACTGACCACTATTCGGTACTTCTGCTTCTCACTCTCTCTCCGTCTCTCTTTCTCCCTCAGTTTTCAACAATTTTATCTATCTACCCATTATTCTCTGTAATGAAGTCTTATGTCACTAATATGGTCTTACTTAGGTAAGTGTTATTAATAGTACCAGTCCACCGAGAGATACAATTAGCAGTTCCCGGTATTTCCCTCAGTTATCATGAATGAATATGTATCTGAATCCATCCTCATTATCATTATTATGCTAATATAATTGCCATTTCACTACTATTCCTGTTGTCATTATCTGGCAAGCTTGCTTTGTTGACATTTTTCGTTGTTGTAAACGCTACTGTGTACATGCGTTGTGTATGTGTGTTGTGCGTGTGTATGTGTGTGTGTGCGTGCATGTGTATGTGTCACATAAACGTGTGTTGGCACAAACACTCAGCACATTGAGCTTGCTTTAGCTGTATGGGAAATGGAATGGTGACAGTGTCGAGCAAAGCATCAACAGATTGTCTCCAACCTGAAGTAGTTATAAGATAGGCGCTACTATCACTACTGCCGTTTGGTGCCTTTATCCGTTTTATGTTCTCGAAAAGCATAATAGATAAGCCTTGCTATGATCCTGTCTTAAACCACACCCACATCTTCCGGTGTCCTTCCTTCTGCCAGATATTTACTCCGGTTTTCTGAATACCTACAATTGTTTTCGTTGTCTAATGCTAATAATGTATAGCAGCTTCACTTTATCTTTTTCATTATTTTTCCCCAATTTTACACAAATATTTCTTACGCAATTACTTTCTATCAAATTCTTTGAGGGGATGTAATGACTTAAATAAATCAACTTTTGACAATCTCTATCTTTCCCCACCTCTCAATAAGATCAGTTTAATCATTTTTGATACACTTGCAATATTATATATGCGTTGTTAACACTCTTCCACTCATCGATGTTTTCTCCAGAAATAGGCTAAAATGGGTGAAATTTATTGAATTTCAAGATTGCTAGGATATTCAGCATGAGTTATTGATTGTTCTAGCTGGGCCTATTTTGAACAAAGCTGGTCTTTCTGGACCCTTTGGTTCATTTCCTTTATTGAAAAAGTTAACCCTTAAACTTTTCACTAGCAGTCTTTCCTGTGCACAATTACTCAGGAAATCCATAAGTTTCTCCATTCTCAAAATGATTAGTATTAAACGGCATAAACTAATTTATTTTTACTTATTTTTTTAAACAATCTGTGAAGATTAATCTTATTGAAAATCTTCGAGAAAACCGTTTTTGCTTCACGTAAATGTCGCCTTACTGATTCTTTTCATCTTTTCTGAACAAATACATTTACTCCTCTCAACAGTTTTTTTTCTTTTCAAAAATTATTTAATTAAATTTTTTACGATTTAAAGTATTGAAATTCTTCTAGAATTTTGGTATTAAAAATCTTACTTTTATAAAATCAAAAGATTAGGATGAATTAGAAGTTCTGCTTAATCTTTACCAAATTACAGTTTAAGTTACATTGCTTTTGAATTTCTGAAAATTTCAAATTCACTTAGATCCAGTTTTTTAATCTTTGTTTTTCCTCATTAATGCAAAACTACTCCGACTTTTATTTTATTAATTTATTTATGATGAAAAAAGCTTAATGTCGACAGAATTTTGAAAGATTTTGGGTTTTATTAACTTTTTAGATTCATGAATTAATTTTCGAAATCCTTATTAGCAGATGGAGTTCAAGCATTCTGTTGGATTTTTTTATCTAAACTCCTTTCTAATCAAATTTCAGATTCACTTTTTATCTCAGTTCTGCTCGAAAGGGAAAGACCGAAGAACTCACCCGATCGACTTATTTGGCTTCCCAAATATTAAATTGAATATTTTTAGGTTTTTTACCCCAAGATTTTTGAAGGTATTGTGTATTACATCTGCTTCGAAAATCTTTTGTTCTCTTCCCTAATGCCTTCACGTTAAATTTCGTAATTTGCAGGGCATGTTCATTGTTTACATCTTCTCATCTTTATGTGAAAGTTTGCGTATAAACATTGAGTTTTGATAACACTAATCAATACGTTATGAATTTTTGAATAAACTTTATCCTTTGCCTGTGCGAGGTAGTTCCAATATGATCAAATCAGATGATGTCATAGACGTGGACATTAGTTTAACTGATGTGTTTGACTGAGATGGCTCGTGTTCAGATGACATGTTGACTTGTTTTATTCATTTACCAAATCACAGCTTTATTCGTATTCAATAGATTACTTTTCGAATCATTTTGTTGTTTTATTTTCGAAAATTTGCAACTTCTAACCTAATTTTTCCTCTCATTGAGGCTTCAACCAATTGATGTAACTTACTTGCTCTTCCTTAATTTTGCTTCAAATTTTCAGAATAAATATAAAAGATAGCACTATTTTTTTAAATATAGGATGATTGATAGATTTTAAAAAGAAGAATGGTATGTTGTAGATCGTAAATTGGTGAGTTCCATCGTGTCATTTTTTGCTTCACTGTGTTACTTTAATGGTAAAACGAAATTTGTAGAATTTATAGAATTCTGTTTATTTCGCATAATTTGCAAATCATGTCTTTTTTCTGTTTGGCAAACTGGTTTTATAAAAAATTTTTTAGTACTTCAAATTTCTGTGGTTATATTTAAAAGGACCATTATATTGGCCTTACTCGAAGATTTTTGTGACAGATTACCGTTGCACAATCCGTATAATGACGAAAGTACATGAATTGGTTTTACGTTTTCATTGTTATTCTTTTTAAAACACAGCTGAGATTGTTTGTGAAACTGTAGACTTTCGTTCAGTCCATTTCTGCCCCCTTCGTTTAAAAGCATTTTTGCAGAACTAGTTTTTTGACTGTCATTTCGTTTTTTATATTTAATTGTCACTTCAAAAATTTCCATCAAATTTCAGATATATGCCACTTGGACTTTAACGCTAAAGCAAGTTTTTATCAACGGATCGAATTTAAAAATATTTTGGAAATTTTCAGTTCTGTTTTGTCTTCTTTAAGTTCAAGTCTTCATCTATTTTTTTAATACAAATTTGCCTTTGGTTCCTGGCATTTTAAAGGGGGGCATCAGATAGAATAAATACGATCTCATTCTCACAATTTACCAACATTTTAGAAGAAAACGTGGTTGGCACCCGTCATTGAATGTTATTTTTATTATTGTCCACCTTGAATCCGAATACACTTTAAGAGATTCATGATATTAAATCAACCATGTTTTCGTCAAAGAATTACATTTTAAAGGCTGAATCAAGTCTGAATTGGAATAAATCACTTTTTTCTCTTCCGCATTATACATGTTACGGTCAATTTTTCTCTATATTACAAAAAAGTGACCCGAAGGGGCACAAATAATTCTATAAAAGTATACATTTATCAAATTTATCTTCAGTATAATCACTAGAACAGATTTTCGTTATTCGTTGATCGGGTCGATCACCATTTCTTGGTACTAAAGCTTAGGTTTGAAAACCACAGATTTGATATTCACGTTTTGTTTTAGGAAGCAGATCTGTTTAGATTAAAACAAACTTCAATACTGTAAAGTTTCTTCCTCAATTGAAAACAATGGTTAAATTATTGAATGCTAGAAAATAATTTGTTTGCTTAGCATGTCTAATCTTAACATTTCAATCATTAAAACATCGATTGAATGCGCCATGCAGAGTGTTTATAAGTTCTTGAAGCTTTTGATCAAGTGCGGAAAATATTATCATTTATTGGTGAACCATTATCAGACGTCAACCCGATGTTCGAGGAAAATTGTGCATTGTAGTGTATAGTGTGACTTGATATGTGAAATGCTGTATTAAATGATTCAACTCAAATTAGGAATGAAAACTTTCTTAACTCTAGAAAGTTAAAGTCATACGTTGTTCAGCAGCTGTTGAAAAGTAAAGTTGACAATATTTCTACTATTCTTCAAGCGTATATTATATTTCCCGCTGACTTCACTATGACACAATCGATGTGAATACCTTTAGTGTGGGAGATCTGATGATGACGACATCGGTCATTCGCCTGTCTTCTCACCGACTTCGTTCTCTGTGTAGTATTCATCCGTTCTTTCGCATCATGCAGTAGTGGTTGTGACAGTCTCTCACTCTATCCTTTTTGAAAGTTTTTTTTTAAGGGCCGATGATTAGCTCTTGCACATATTTCTAATAACTCGTGTTCCATTGGCAAGATTTAATTTTAACCTTCTCATAGGATAAACTTGAAACAGCAGGAGATCTTCAATCTACATCCAGTTTTTCCAGTTTTAATCTTTGAAATTATCTTAAATATGAATTGAAATTAATCAAAAAAAGAAAATGATTAATGTGAAAAATTTCTCAGGAAGACTTCTTTAGAAGTACATTATAAACATTTGTATTAGTCTTTAATTATGTTATTTTTTATTGTCACGATATGTACGTGTTCTTATTGACGTCTGAAAGTAATTCTTTACTTAAAATATATTGAAATTATAGTTTATTATTCTTTGGTGATATCCGACAGTTGGACGGATGGGCTCCTGCACATGCAGTCTCTATGTATGTTATTTTCCTGTGCTAAGTACTGCTGATATTAGCTCAATAAAGAATTCTAATTTTGTATAATTAGATTGTCATATCAGCTACTCATTAGCTAAATTAGGAATATAAAGGTCTGAAAACGAAACTGCAAGGACAAATTTCATTTCAGTTGAGAGAGTAGTAAACGAAGATGCTGCAACAGTTGGTGTCATTGGTGTACAAACAAGAAATGTGTTTGTCTGCCCCCCTCTTATGTGTTATCCATTTAACGCTTCATCTGAACAAGATCAACGGGTAAGCGAAATACCGAGAGATAATGTTTTGCAATAATGTACAGTTTAAATGATAATGCTCCGAAAAGAATTTGAATTACACACTATACTGTGTGAAAGCTTTAATTGTCTGTTAAATACCAAAAAGGAGGTCATCCATTTCAACATCTTTTATGTAGCTATTTTAACTCTTCCGTACAAACAAAGTTTCTAATCGTGGACTATGCTGAATTTTTGTGGAGAGGCATAACTTTTTAATGGTCACCTATCGTATCAGTTAACAGACAAACTTAGTGTTTTATTATTGTATCTTTTTAACATTTAGTCTTTTTCAGTACTAAGTGTAATTTTCTGACATCAAAAATTTGAAACATAATACTGAACAAAATGCTGAAGCATCAGCTACTACTACTATACGTATATCACTAACGATGGTTTTCAACAACTACTTCATCCGGGAGAGGAGTAGTAAATACCTCTGCTCTTTTTTAATGCAAAGAGGAAGTGTATAATACTGCATCTGCAAACAAAGCTGTCGGTGTATTTTGTGCACAACAAGGGAAATAATCGGAAAATTTTTAAATTTATCTACATTTTATGAATTTTAGGATCAGACGTTTGACTTTTTTATCCTTTACTTTATTTATATCCAATTTCAGAAGTTGAATGGACCGTCAACTTTGGTTACGAATTGTATTTCATTAGCACACGATGAACGAATTCTCTCTTATGCAGCTTCAGCTGCCATTAAACTCATGGATCTCCAGACTGGTAAATTTATAAATCTTTGCATGGGAAAAATTTATCTCTTTTGTCGCATTCATAAATTTATATTTTAAGTCATTTCAGTAAACCCCCCAATTTTGAACAAATATCTGAAATTTCAATCAAATTTGATTTTGATAAATCATGTTTTTGAGAAGTTGCCATTTTATGAAAAGACTAACATTTTGATATTTATCTTAGCCATGGGATTTATGAAGACCATCACTTGGTAAAGAATTTTATTATATGATGAATAGAATTAAAATATTAAGGCTTTTCCTGTTTTTAATGTTCTAAAATTTAACTTCAATCTAGATAATAAAAGCAAGATCCCAAATATAGTTGCATTCAAAATTTCGCATCTTTATTGTGATTGCGCAAGCTTTTTTAAAAATAAAGCATTAATGATACATATTTCATTACAATGAGGGATTTTTTTTTCTACTCACAGATTCTAGCAACCATTTTAAAACATGAAATTCTTATAAAGCAGAATCGAATGAAGTAGCTTAAAGACTAAAATGCATTCAGAAGTACCAAAAGCATGAATGGCAGCGCAACACAATGCAACTAAAAATAATTCAAATGCTTTGATGGAAAGTTCCATATCCCATTTCTTATTAAAAGAACGCTGCGCCATTCAAGATACAACAATTTTTGGAGTGTTGCACTTTTGTTGCACCTGTCGGAGACATTTTCAGAGACAGAAGACATTTTCGGAATTAGATTAAACCAATATTTTTTTAAAATCACTATACCATAGTGTTATATTTAATAAATTATGGCTGCAACAGAATATAAAAAAGGCCGATTAATGAAAATAATTTCTTTAACATCATTAGTGTAACCATCAATGAAACAGGTATAAAATGAGTTGGATAAACCATCGATAGGTGTTTAAGATGCTTATCACTTTCACATTTGTTTTATTGAATTCTGTAGAGCTCTAAATTTTATAGTGGCTTAAAATCATAATTTTTGTAATTTTATCGTGGAAATGTTGTGATAATCTGAGTGTTAATAACAGGAAAAGAAATTCTATGAGTAATATTTCAGGACGTGAAATGCGAACATTGGTTGGCCATAAAGGACGAATTAATGCCATAACCCAAAGTAATAGGTCAGTTTTCGGAACTTCTAATTAACCTAAAAACAGGTATTTGGGTTAAGCTGGTTTGCAATTCACATTCTCGACCATATCTAATCAGAATAGAAGACATAGAAATCATAAAATTTCATGAATTACCTGTTGCGATTTGATAGGAAATCTGAATTTCGTCATTTTTCTAAGACTTTGTGGTATTAACTTCACAGAAGTACATTTTAGGTCCATATATATGTGGGCATCGGCAGCTACTGATTGCACAGTAACTCTTTGGGATACAAGGCAACATCCGGCTAACGTACTAGTGCGGCGTTTTGATCGTTCAACCAACTGTTTATGTTATAGCCCGAATGATGCTTTTATAGCTCTAGGCTCTGATCACCTGTACTTGATGGACCCACGTGTCAAAGAGTATAGATCTCTTCCCTCTTCATCTCAGGTCAGTTGGATCTTAGATTTGTCTTCATCAAGTTTCCGGATAATTTACATAGTTATGTTGATTATTGGAATGGAATTTGCCTTAATTATTCGAAAGAGTTAAGCTCAGCTTATATGTCAGTAATAGCAAAAGCAGCGCTTAGGACTAGTCTATTTTGGTGAACTACAACTGCAAAATAATGCAGTGGATGAGAGGGAAGAGAATAGGTTCTTGTATGATCAAAGAAATAAATCTGTTCTGTTCAGTCATGGAAAATATTTATATAATAGATTTTTTTTCTTAATATCCAGAAAGTCTATTTTTTATTATGTGACAACAGTTTTTTAGATGACTTTTTTAGAAAATCAATTTTATAAATTTGGGCTTTCCTTTTCAACTTTCTATCTAAATTTTGATTCAATAATAACATACAGTAATTTCATTTGATCATCATAAAAAAACAACATAGCGAGTTAATTATCAAATATTCTTATGAATGTCAAATTTCTTAGTTCTTCCATTCTTCTTATTTTCAAAATAGGTATTGCATGTATGCTTCCATCCTTCTGAGTATTTATTGGCAACGGGATCCAAGGACCGGCTAGTGCGTTTCTGGGACATTGATACTGAAGAATGCGTTTCACAGAGTGATCCGGCGGATGGTACACTCAGAGAAGTTGCTTTTCATAATGATGGCTCAGCTCTACTCACACTTACTGACCGGTTTGTTTTGCATAACATTTTGTTATATTTCCGAGTTTTTTTTTTTGGAATAAAAAAATTAAAAAAAGTCTGAAGTTTGAGAAAGACGGAGCTGAAAAGGTCTAAAAAATGGGAAGTTGACTTCAAAAAATTTTCTAATGATATATTAATTTTATCTCATTCGTTTTTGAGTTTGGAAATTTTAACTTAAGTTGTATAGTTTTCTTTTAACTGACTGATCGTTGCAAGTGCATATAAAAAATAGCTATTTGAAACAATTTCATCATGTACATCGATATAATTCAATTATTAATTACTCTAATTTTGCAGCAAATGTAACGCAATCTCATGGGAACCATTCGAAATGCTCGGACAGTGTATAATTCCAAAGATGGATTATTGCTTAAGTTTGGCGACCTCAGATTCAGAAGTTTTTCTTCTTGGACGATCTATGGTGCCGAGCAGATTATCGTTACTGATGACACCTTATGCGGTAGTATTTTTATTTCATGAGATTGTGCACGAATACATTTTTTAAACAATCTAAATGATTAAATTTTCTGCGATATTTTTGGAAAATTATATGAAGTTAAGATATTTGTTGGTTGGAATAAACACGCCAATTGCGTAGCGGGTTTTTTTTGTTAATTTTTTAGATTTTAAAAATTCATGTTTTGATTCATTCACCGTTTTCTTGATGAAACATAGAAACAAAATGTGTACGGGGAGAAAAGGCTTTGCAAACATTGCTCGGGTCTTTTAAAATTTAATTAATTTTCCGGAAATTGTCAGAAAAAAAGTGATCTTTTCGTGGTTGCAGTATTAACTAGAATTATAGACGATAGTGAGAACTGCGATAGGATTTGAGGAAAGATAATAAGAAATTATTTTGAGAACAATGACGAGTAATATAATGAGACAATAGATTACAATGAGTATTTTGGAAAAATATGCGAAAGTGTTTTAAAAAGTGTCGTTCTGTCGTTTTAGCTATTTCTTTTCCTTTTTTCTATTCTGTTACCAGGCAACCAAATGAGTCGCATTTCGTGTTTCTGACATGCGTTCCAACATAACTTTTTTAGGCATTTCTTCGGAATAATGTTAGCTTTTTATTTTTTATGAAAAAATTACATAGGGAGATTTGCTGGTGCCATCGTCCTCCATTCTGTCGAAAAAATTTTTAGTTATTGATAATAGATGGACCCTTCCTCCCATTCTATTTTTTCTTGTTACCTTTGTAACCCGCAACTCTATATCAAAGCCAATTAATGCTCTGATCACAACTACCTACCCACATTTTGCTCATAGAAAAGCAATATAAACTAAATTTATTTAATGGATGCTTTTCTTGCACTTACCTTAGTCTTTGAAACTTTTTAGGCTAAAATAATGACTGAAAGAACCTAAAAGAATGTCGACTGTCTTTTTCTCATAATGACAAGTGGAATTGGTCAAAGAAATGGGCGGGGGAATATTTTTTAGACAGCCAACATTAGTTACCAGTATATTTATTTTACGATTGAAATTAATGTTTGCATCGTTACAACTGTGAAAGGTTATGGGTGATATTCAAATGCAAGAGTTAAAATAATAAATAGTAGAAGTAATGGCAGTAACATTGAGATTATCAGCTTAAACTTTGATTGACATAATAAAATCGGATAGTAAGGAATAACATACAGCAGTGGATTTCAAGTTTTTTTTTATGTTAAGGTTTTACTAAAAGAACTTCTCATTTCTAGAAACTTCTTGCTGAACAAGAGTCATTAGAAAACGAAAATCAAAGTGACAAGCTAAAGGCAGCGGACAAACTAGAAGATCTGTCGGACGCAAGCCCTGGTGATTCAAGTAGGAACGAGCTGGAAGAATTATTATTGGAAAAAAAGGAACCAGTGCATTACTACGATGATCACACCGCATTTATACCGACACATACATTACCACGTACACCACCTTCAGGGTCTGTACGAGTAATACCGCACGCTAAAGTAAGTCACAGATCTTTAACTTTTTAAAACTTTAGTTATGAAACTTGAATGAGAGCAGTTATATAGGAATTCAACAATCTAGACTCTGCTTAATTGCTTTTTTATCTCTTATACCCGTTATAGTGTTACACAGAGTTGGCCGCGAACTTTATGCTTCGAATTCCAGTCCTTTAAAGATATTATTACAAATAATTTCTGTAGACTGTTTAAAACACAAATTATAATTTCATTTATTAAAGCCTTCATATTTCTGCATAAGAGCATAAATGAGTTGAAGATTGGACTTGACAAGTTTTAGAAATTTCATTTAAATCTTCATACTTATGCGAGCTCCTTTAAGTGTTGTGTTACGATGGAACTTACCAGTCTTTTTTTTACAAATTGTGTCAGAAACTGCAGAAAACTCTTTTCACTGAGTTGATTAAAATGAACAATATGTCTCCTGTAAGGTTACATTAGGTTATTACCTAGTAACTGGAAGTTGATGATTCCCGTAAAACGTTTGACAGTTTGTCGGACATCAGCAGTTTAACTTATTAGCTAAAATCTTGAGTAAAGAAAGTTTTTTAAGGAAGATACATTACAGTGAGGACTTATTGCAGGATGCAACTGTTGCTATGACCACGACAACTGCACCACTGACGGCGATTATATCAATGTCTGCTAAAACAAAAACATTGAAAACGAAGCGAAATAATACAAATTCGAAGTAAGTGATTGTGGATCTCTATATTCCTCACATGGAGAACTTCAATTTAAATTTATAATGATTTGGTATAGCCAGTTTTTATATGGAGTGACACTTTTTCAGTTACACAAACTACTGTATTGGTACTGAAATTTTCAAAAAAGACAAAAAACATTATGTGAGGTAGTTTTGCAAATGCATCATAAAACTTAGAACTTAAAAACTTATATTGAAATGATACGTTGTTCTGAGCAACAATGATTTGTGCTTTGAGAAGTAGGATTTATTTTGATTAATTCATTTGTACTTTCCCACTAAAGTAGATTAAATAGGAATGGAAGCTAAGTGTTCAGTAATTGATTATTTATACATACAAAGCAGACAGTTACTTGAAACTAGAACTTTTTACCTCATTTAATGATTAATTTTAGACTGGTCCATTCAAAAGTTGCCAGTACCTCGCGAAAAATGGGTGGTATGATCTTGCGAACATCACAGTCTAATTTATCTCGAAAAGGAGCGCATTCTTACGGTAGTAAATTTTATTCTTATTGTATCTGATTACATGACAAAACCTATCTAAATCCTATGCAATCTTTTTCATTACTCTAAAATAAATAGTTGAAATCATTGAATCACATTTTCCTTCAGAAACAGCAGTAGAAGTAACCAATTCAATGCCAGACATTCGGTGTGCTGTCTTTAGAAAGAAGGTTGTCTTTCAGATTTGTAATCTCATAGTTTTAAAATCCTTCTATAATTTTTAAAAGCTTAATGATCTCCTTGTTAAAGTGAAATTTTTGAGTCTTGTAATGCTTTGCTAGAAATTCTTACTTAGTATCGTTTCACAAAATTGTCAATTTTTAGGAAGAGAAAAACCGTGGTCTTGGTGATAATGATGAAATGAAACGTCAACGAAAGCAGTTGTGTCGGGATCGAGATCAGGAAATATCAAGCGAATTATATAGTCTAGATGATGTAATTGCTGGTTTAGACAAACTTGAAATGATAATCAATCAACGACGTATGGTGTTGGAGGACGTGTTACGCTGTTGGCGAACACGCGGCTCTGAAGCGGCGGTCACAGAAGCTGCGCGATCCAATGATATAGCTGTATTAGTTGAGCTGATTGACGCATTCAATCATATGCCTGCAGTTTGGAATTTGACATTGTGTGTGGCTATTCTGCCCTATATCGAACCATTATTTGCAAATAAACATGAAGATTATGTGGAGGTCAGTCATAAAAAAAGTCAAAATTATAGCTTTGCATGATAGAAATGCAGATATTTTTACTCGATTTCTGCTTCAAAGGAAATGATACAGCGATAAAAGTACAGTTGTGAAACTTTCTAAAACATTTTGTATATCTTCTTAAAGCTCACATCTTAATGCGTTTCTCATTCGTTAATTGTCAAGATTATAGAACAGTTTTTTAAAAAAAAATTCTTTCTCCTAAAAAACTTTAGTAACTTTAAGATGTTACATGTTTGTAAGCAAGTTGCATTCTGGAGGTTTGAAGGTTTAAAATTCAATTCACATCTAAAACTCGAATTCGTTTCTTCATTACTAAAATGTCATTTGAAGGTTCAGCATATCCTTCGTATTTTTTTGCGTAATTGGGTATTTCAAATAAATCGTTTTAGGTAGCATTAAGTGCGCTCAGGGCGATAATTACGGGTTGTGGAGATGTGATTCGTACAGGTTTCCACCGTCGTTTTCAAATTGGTGTTGATGTTCCTGCTGAAGAACGACACAATAAGTGTATAAAGTTAGTTTCAGTCCAAATGAAAGAAAAATGAGATGAAACGAATAATATATTGAAATAAGTAACATGCAGACATTAGAAGTAAATAAGTTAGTATGTGTGTCATGCCAAAATGAGTTAGACTGGATGATGAAACCGAAGAGCAAAACCATGTATTTGCTCATTGATTCTTCGGTTTGTATTTTCATTTCGAACTCTGATTTTCAGTTTCTATTCCTTTCAGATGTATGCAGCAGCTGACAAATATAAGGGTTAAGGCTACGTTGTTGACCGATCGTATGAATAAGTCGCAGTCGCATGAATTCACTGCTCTTATGCAAATTTTTGACGACACATTGTCGCCAATTTAGAATTATTTGCAATTTGTGATATTAAGCTACTTTTCTGTCTATTTTTTCATGGTGCTCATTTGGGATTTACTTCTGTCTTGAAGCTCAATATTCTTCAAGGGGTTTTTACGAAATATTCATCTAACTTTTAAGTTGAAAAAAGGTTTTTTTGAGTGAGAATGAACAAAGTTAACCTGGTGAACGACGAGACCTTGCAAATTAGATATTTTGGACGTTTGATGCTATTTTCAAATTTTCTTTTGTATAGCAGATTTCGGTTTTTTTCAGCAAAGGGTTTTGTTTAGATCCTTTTTGAAATTTATCAGTCGAATCTAAGGGAGTTTCTGATGTAAAGATTCAATTTTGTCTTTAGTTTTAATTTAAAAAAATGTTTTGTTTTACTCATTTATATGTTTATTTGTTTTTTGACTTGGCAGATGAAATTTTCGTCTGCTCTGTGAATGATTTTTCTTTAATTCTCCAGGAAGTCATCATTATGTTTACTCATGTGGTCTCATTTTATTTGTAAATATGGCAGTGGTTCCATGTATAATTTTTTAAAGAGATATTTAATAGTAAATTCGATTTTTGAATTCGGAGGGGACTGGAAGCAAATGATTTATAATCTTCGTCTTCCGTTCTGGTGCTTTCAAGAGAAACTTTTGAAGATAGAAATTCTGCAGTTTAATTGGTTAGTCTTTAAGTAATATTATAATATATATATAGATAAATAGATTAGATAGGTAAGATAGATTCAAATTCTTTAGAATGTCCTTGTAGAATAAAAGATTAATTAAGATGGATTTCAAGGAATGTTTTAGGAAAGGCTAATATTTTTCGATGCCAGCCATTGTTATTTCTCAGAAAAGCGTCAGAATATTTTTGTATGTAACAGCTTTAGTTTGCCTATGTTGGTGTCATAAACCATTGTCAATTTTCGCCTGTTTCTGCTTCTGATAAATGAATGCGAAAAAAACCGGTTCATATGTTTCATCTTTGTAAGCCATAGATTTTGTAACACTTTGATTTCTTTGTTTCGAAGTATAACAGGAATTTTGAAATAAAACTTTGCATGAAATTAGATAAAGTTCATTGGAAACACTTCATTAAGCCCATTTCATGGAGGATTTTAGCATCATTTAGGTGCTTAATTATGAAATTTTTTCCATTATCCTCATTCACTTTTAAAACTGGATGCCTGGCTTTTGTTAAATGCAACTGTAGAATTTTTAAATTCTTCCCACTATCCTCCTATCGAAAATCGTCGACTTGAGATTGATTGATGTTTCTGCTTTCTAGTAAACAAATGAATTTGTCGGATGTAAATTTTGTTCCTCATGCTCCGCTTCTGTGATACTCACTCATCAGATAGGTAATTATACTATTTACAGGAGAGTTATCTTCGTCTCATTATCTTTCATTTCAAGGTCACCGGAAGGAAGTCCGGATCGTTGCCTTTTGTCTGTTGTAGTAATAAGAGTGAACAAGCAATGTACGGAGTGATTTGTTCATTGTTATCATTGTGGATATCGTTTCATTTCAAACAAATGACTGGAATTTCAAATTAATAGAAATCTGAATTTGTGTAGGAAACCTTGAACTTAACCGGAGCTTGAAATTGTGAAAGCATTCATGAGGAAAATCTATTTGTTGAGAATTTTATTTGAAATTTAAATTGATTGTGATATTTGTGCAGAATTATTGACATCCCTAAATTTTATAAGTATAAATTCCTGGAAGTTTACTATGTGTAGTTTGTCCTTTTTCTCAAGTTTCTTGATAATTTGTTAAATAAAAATAGAGGTAAAGAAAAACCGTACTGCCGTCCTTCAAACTTTTATTATGGTCGGAAATGAAGAACTGGTCTGCATAGTAATCAAATGAGAAGTTCGAACATGAAATTGACATATTATTTCAAAATCTTTAATGTCAGAAATGACCAGAAGGAATGAATGACAGAAGGAGCAAATAGTTTAGAATATCGTTTGTAATCAAAAATTGCTTTTATTGATTGTTGAGAAAATCACATTAGTCTAACCTTGAACTTATCTTTTGAAGTGGATTCTAATTAGTGGTGGAGTGGAATAAAGTAAAAGTGATATAAAGAAAAGGATAGACAGAATGCAGTTTTCACAATAACATCAAGTAATTTATAACCGATTAAAGGACGATTAGCATCTTCAATCGAATGACCTTCATTACTCTATTACCCATGTCTTTACGACTAGTTGATTTAGACAACGTTTTCTTTGAGGATAGAAAATTTCGGTGTTCACCAATATAGGTAATGACAGTAAGTTGAGCGGGGCATGAAAAGAATAGCTGTTATCTGCATCACTTCAGAATGGTCTCAACTTATAGGCCTGGAAGTAGTCAATTCACTTTACATTGAACACTATTAAACTATTTTTTCTCACTAATCTAATTCATCTGCAGATGTCGTAATAACTTGAAATTTTGTACCATAAATAGTCAAAGTAAAGAAAAAAGACGTATTAAAAAATTGAAACTTAAGAATTGTTTAGCATCGCAAGTTTAGACAGTCTTAAGTTATATATTTCGAATTTTCTAAAAGCAAGAGAATGAGAAAGTGATATATGAAAGAAGAGTCATTATACCAATTGGGTTATTCAATTCTTACCGATCAAATCTTCAAAATTCAATAGTGATAGCCCAATTGTCGGTTCAAATTCAAGAAACCATAATAATAAAATTTTCATGTAACATTATGTGTTACCGAGGAGGTAAATCGGTTTCATCTAAGATACTTTTTTTTTCATAATATAATATATTAAAACAAAGCTTCATCATACCTACTGGAATTCTTGAAGCTGTCCGAATTTTTCCTTGAATCGTTTTAGTTTTAGGATGAATACTGCAATTCATCAAATCATTTTATTGAAAATTTTCATCTGTTCCTCTTAAAATACTTAGAGAATAACATAATTGTGCGCATTCCGTATAATTTGTAGACCGTATAATTTGCACAGAAATATAACATCGAGTGAGGTAAAGATTTCATTAGCTTGATATGACAACACATTTAAAGATAGCCATTGTGCCGTAAATATTTGATTAAATAAACTAAACTAGCTTTTATCTTTTTCTGATATTTGATATTTAAGATTGTTTTTTTTTTTTTGGGGAAAAACTTATGATTATAATTGACAAGCGCTCCATTTGTCATCAAATAAGTATTAAAATATTGAAATTCATCGAAATTTTAACTGCCAAATTGGCTGGTTAACTTCATGCATTCTTATTGAAATTAACACACCTGGACTGGAAATAAAAATGAGCTTATATTTCATACTTATAGCTAAGAATCATTAAATATATTTGTTTACCCATGATTTTTTTTTCTTTCTTATAGCTGTTGATTACTTATTCATCTCATTCATTATTCACTACGCTGACGTTACATGTGAATGCAAATATCAATATCGGTTTGTCGGTTCATAATTCTTGAATGCCAACTGTTAACTGTTCTCGATCATGCATTTGAATCGATTCAAAGGTGAAATGAAACGTTCGATAAAAAAAAGCGGATTTGTAGCCAAGATCAAATTTTATCTCATCTTTTTAGTCTTATATCTCTTACTGAGCACTTTGTTTTATTTATCTTTCTTATAATCATCCATAAATATTGGGCGGTGATGATACGAGTGAGAAACGATTAGGAAATGGCAAAATAGCATAGAAAAAAACCTGCCTAAACTCGTATTTCTCGATCCTCTTTTTCAATCCTACGGCCATCATTAAGCGATTGATGATATTGTTTTATTGGTCAGCACAGAAATGATTATTTTATATTGACATCATATCTCTCTGGAAGATCTTGCCTTACTTTATACACTAGCCAAATCATTTGGCTATAAATAATAGTCACAAATGATCAGGCACTTTTGATAATGGCCAGACAGAAAAAATGTTTGACAATTGAGTCAGTAAGTAATTTCTCGCTTGGTAATCATCAAATATCAATCACATAAGCATGCAGTTGTGCTAAATGTTACAAAGTAATATTTTGGTTGCTTAATGGAAATGAAGCGCAAGAGAAGCACAAAATGAAAGGAAGAATGTATGTCGTCCTCGATGATGGCGCACATCGCGCGTCCCATTCTTCTCCGCTTTTTATGCAAACGAAGTACCCACCCGTCGTTCGTTACCTCTTCGAACATTTTTCAAGAGGGCTCAGTGAAAGAACGATGGATATCCATAGATGAAACCGACGAATAACGTTGTTGTTATTGTCTTTTCCTTCGTTGCCTATTTCTCATTCCTTTTAAATTTTCAATGACACTACCAAGTAAGTACATCCCAGTATTTATTTCAAGGTATACAATGTTAAAAGATGACAATATCGATTGATTTGATAGTTATCAGATCTTTTTTAATAAAGAAAGTATTACTTAAAAATAGGAAAAAATAATAAAATATATTGTGCCTTTTAAAATAATAAAATATATTGTGCCTTAAGGCCAAGAAAGATATTCATTGTTTAAATAATCCCTTATCATTTCTACAGTGATAAGCGCTCTTGAAACCAAAGTTAATTGTTGATGTTAATGAAAATTCCAATTCTTTTTCATTGTTATTAATCTTTTTTTTCTAATATTAAAAACATGATCTTATTTGTGTGTATTTTCTGTTTTCATTAATACATGAAAGAATCTTTCTTTAAAAAAAAAATTTTTTTCTATTTTAAAATTATTGCATTATATCAACGAATTAGACATATTTCCTAACATTTCTAATTAATCACAAAAATTGACGAAAATATATAAACGTATTCAATTTTGATGTAACATAAAAATATCTTTTACACTGAATGAGATTTTATTCTTCTAACAGATCTTTGTAGAACTCAGTCACGCGTACGTTATCTAAATGGTATTGAATTTCAACAATTAGATATTCTGGAAAGAGTGAGATATTATCTTTACTTCTACTTTCAACTTATCCATTTCTTCTTTTTTGCGACAACTCAAAAATCATATTTTCTTTTGTAAAGACAAGAA